AAAGGTTTCTGTGACAATAAAACGTCACTGCTTGGAGGAACACAAAAGCATTTAAAAGGAGGCAGTGTGGATGCTTAAAACAGCCATGATGTTCACCAACAGTATATGAAGTGCAGTAGAGGATGTCAGAGGTTCTTCACCCCCCCCCCCAAAAAAAACAATTAACTGAAAATCGTAGTCTAATAAAAATTATTATACACGGCTATTAAAATCACTACTAGTAATTCACGAGTGTCGAGAGTTTGGCTGGAAGAGTCAAACCTCAGATCAAAAGGTAGACAGATAAAGACCCAGCAATCATGTTGAAGGTTGTGTGGCAACCAAGAGGCCAAACACACTTTTTCTGGAGCTGCACTAAACTAAGGCCTTATTGGAATAACGTGAATCCAATTATTAAAGAGACCATAGGATATGCTGTTTGTAACAACTGTGTTGTGATGTACCTGAACACTGAGGAGGTCATACAAAAAAGAGACATATCTGGCAAAAGTCCTGCTTATAGCCAGCAAAAAAAAAAAGCTACAACAAGAAACTGGTATAACGTTGAACCTCCCAGGAGGAAACAATAATTTGAGATTGTCCACGATATATCTTAATAATGGAGAAAGGAGACAACTGGGAGAAATGGTCCATCAAGTACTTTAATAGTTGAGCTATGGCATGACTGATGTTGAGGTTTCTGTTTATCTTGGTTCAGTGTTATGTTGATGGATGCGTTGTGTGCCGAAGAGGCTTTGTCCAAAACTGAAAATGCAATATAGATTCACAAATAGAAGCCTCATACTATGGATAAACATAGTATTTGCAGATTTCCTACAAAGAGCACTGTGCCTTACCGCCTTATGTTTCAATTATATTCTACTATCGTTTTAGACGAATATTGAGTGTAAATAAAAATATAGATTACATTTTTCTCATGCTGCTGGGAATTAAAATGTAGGCTTCTAATTGTAAATTCACCAATAAAACTTAACCCACGGCCTGTTATAATAAAAAAAACAGATATGTGGCTCTGTTGTATGTAAGTGTCCCAGTAAGCCATGACAACGTGACAGGGAGCCAGCATGAAAAACACCACCACCATGAAACCACAAACAAAAACATCTGTCTGCTACTGTGAAGTCATCCAATTTGAATTGGTTCAGGTTTTGACCAACTGCTCGTTTCTCACCAGTGTAGTCTTCATTGCTCCCGTCTCGACGTCCCACATGCGGATGGTGTGGTCCCATGATGCACTGCAAACTTCCTCACTGTCGAACCACAGGACAGAAGACACCGCCTCGTTGTGTCCAGATAACGTCATCAGGGGCGTCTGTGTCCATGTGAGACAATGTGATCTCTTATAAATCCCTTTACATTCAAAATGCTTGACTAATACATCAGCTTATAAATCATCAGGTTAGCCATATTCCCTATAAATCACTTACCCTGGTGAGGCCAAGCTGTTGAGTCTTCTGTTTCTTCCTCGGCCTGTCAGCAGGCTCTTCAACCTCGTCTGCCTCATCTGTGGGCACTGACAGCGCAGGGAAAAGGAGCTAGCTTGTTAAATTGTTTTGTATTCAGTGATGCTTAGGACGCAATCAATAATTCTGGAAACCTACCTGCAGACCAAATCTTCAACATTTTGTCCCAGGAGCCACTGCAGAACTGTATGGGAGCAACACAAATGCTTTCACTGACAAATAGCAACTGTGAAAGCCCTTGAATTTGCAATAAGCACTATCCATCACTCTTTACCTTTGAGCCAGTGGGGTCTGTGGAAACAGTGTCAACACTCCCTGTGTGTCCCCGACAGCAGTGTCTGGCTTTCACCTTGTTCCTCTCGGAGTTCCACTCCCACAGCAGGATGTTTTGGTCCAGAGAGGCGGTCAGAAGCAGAGAGGTCAGACCATCTGAAGAGATACGTTGGCAGAGTCTTTTAAGAAAGGTTCTCATTGTTATTATTAAAGTGACTGTCTGACATTCTGCCCTGCTCACCTCTTTTGACCCAGGCTACATCTTTCACCACATCTGTGTGTCCAGCCACTGTCAACACTGCCTTGCCCTCTACAGACCAGATCCTGGCTGTCTTGTCATACGACCCTGTTAGGATCCTGCAAAAATAGAAAAGTAAGAAAACCAGGAGATTATAGTATATTTAAAACACAAATTTATTCAGATTACAGCCTGTCGTTGTATAGTTTTTCCACCAGAGGGCACTCTGCAACACGTTTGGAACAAACCACAACGCTGTACTATTTACAAAAAAGAAAGTTTATTTTTAAATTGCTATGACCGAAAGGCCATTAGAAAATGTAAATGCAATACAAAACAAATGAAAAAGTCTGTTGTCTGTTATCTTACCATTCAGCATCTGCATCTACAGAGCTAATCCAGTCATCGTGCATCATACACTCCTCGGGCTCTGGGGCTGTGATCCGCTCTACATACTCTATCTCCACCACGTCTTCCTGAAGCACAGACATACGCACTGATGACCAGATATCAAATCACGTGTTCCCATTTGTCCCTCTTAGGCTTCCCACAAGATAAGGCAGTGAATGCTGAAACAAGCTTTACACAAACTGTCTGTACCATAAGTATAACAGGAACACAGCATTTACACTCAGGTTTAAGCATGGAGGCTGGTCATACCGTCGATATGTCTTCTGCCTCCATATGAGTGGCCAGCGACGATCGCAGGAACTGACCCTTGACCAGGAAGTCGAAATCCACTTTGCTGTGAGAAGCTGCGGAAACAAAAGACAAAATATGCGTTCAAGATGTTACGAGTATTTTTAAGCACTGGGATTTTGTCAGCCATATGACATAATTTAAGCTGAGTATAAACAATAGAAATCTGTGTATATAGTAAAACTTGTTATTAATGTATGGAAAGCCGTTTTAACATTTATTACTTAAAACTTACCAGTAGCTATTTAAAAGCTACTAGTACTTATTTATTAGTCACTAATAACTATTCACATTTTACTAGTGACAATTGATTAGATACTAGAACTTAATATTCAGTTACTAATAACTATTTTTTAGTTACTAGTAACTAACTGCACATCTATTCATTAGTTACTAGTTACCATTTCCATTTTGCTAGTGTCTATTATTTAGCTACTAATAATAGATACCAGTAAAATGGAATTAGGTACTAGTAACCATTTTCACTTTACTAGTATCTATTATTTAGCTATTAGTGCTTTCTTTTTGTTAATAGTAATATTTTCTTTCTTACTAGTAAAAATAAAAAAGTTACTAATGCCATTTGGAATAGTTACTAATGACTGATGAGTAGGTACTAGTATCTAAATAACAGATACTAGTAAAAGGTTACTAGTAACTATTCAATAAGTTACTAGTAACTAATGAATAGATGATATCTGAATTGCAGAGACCCATAGATTTCAATGACAAAAATGTGCAGTTAGTTAATAGTAACTGAGAAATTAAGTTCTAGTATGTCATCAATTCTTACTGCTAGAGCAGGGGAACAGTGGCTAATAAATAAATACTTTTAGCTTTTAAATAGCGACTACTAAGTTTTAAGGAATAAATGTTAAAACGTCTTGACATATTTAATGCTTAAAATTAAATGTGAGTTTACCATTTTTAGCTTCCAGTAGCATGTTGATGACATTACTGAGGTCCTGCACTTCAGAGTTAGCAGGGATGGAGAATGGGACATCATCCACAACATACCTACAAAGAAAGGCCTTCGGTTTGTACCATAGTTTACACATCCACACACACATTTCGCATATGTACATATATATTAAGACACCAAATGACACAGATGCAGCAGGACAGCAGCCAGTCACATCTTTGGATTGTTAGCAATAGCTAGCTAAATCAATATGCGCTACAAACTGTTGGTGGATAACTACAATTAGAAGCTTAGGCAGAATTTACAGAACACATTCATGGCTCAAAGGCGGAGAAGTGCCTCACAATAATGTCGTACTGTTTACTGTAAGTTACAGCTAGATACCCAGACGGCTAACGTTAGCTGCTCCTGTCGTTTTTTAGTTATATTTAATTGGTTTAAGGGAATAAGAGCTCACCTTTTGTTCTCCGTGAAGAACCTCGCTTGTAACTGCGACATTTTTAGCTATGTATTCCTCTTACAGACGACTAAGTTAGCTATATGAATCTAAGCTATGGCTAAGTTGTTCATCTGCTCCTTCACAACACATCTGACGCGCATGTAGTCGTGCCATGTGGTATCAGAGTCAGGCAACTCAGCAGAGCACAGATGAAGCCAATCGATGATATGGATCTGTGCTCCTCCAGTAATGCCTGCCCTGTGACTGCGACATTAAAATACGCCATTAAAAGTATATGTATTCTATTAAACACCACTAAATTATTATTAGAAAATCTACTGTATTGAGTATCAAATACTCAATATGTAGAGATGCAGAGCTATGTTTATGCTATTACATATTATATTACTCGCTTCTTATTTCTGATGCAGTAGTACTGTACACAGCATTTTATTGTTAATTGGTCATGGTGGAGCACATTTGAACTATTTTACACTATTGGGTTGTTTAGTCCATAATATTGCTTGTTTTGTAGGCCTATGTAAAATCTGCATCTTTAAAGTTACTATTAAGCTGTCAAATATTCCATAAGACTTCAGTTAAAAGCCTGGTCCTATTTAGACACCTGTGCTATTTACTGACCTGTTGTGGCTTCACGTTTTGACAAATAAACGCAGGTCAATTAGAAGCCTGGTCGGGTACTATTAATTGAAGTTTTAGGTTACAGTCTCAAATTTGTAATTAAGTACAATACTTTAAAAGTACTAAATTACATTCCACGTATTGGTAATCTAATTGAACACTGGAAAAAGTTGTTGCCGCCCATCTCCAGGACCACCTCAAACATAACAACCTTTTTGAATAATTCCAGTCGGCTTTTCTGCTCTGCACACAGCACAGAAACAGCCTTGGTTAGAGTCACAAACGACCTACGAATGGCAACTGATGCTGGCTTAGCAAAAAGAAAGAAAGAAGTACCCTACAGCAGGCCGATTAGCTCAGATGGTTAGAGCGTGGTGCTAATGACACCAAGGTCATGAGTTCAACCCCCATACTGGCCAGACAACTCGACGTCAGAATCAGAAGGAGCTTTGTTGCCAAGTACCTTCTTACACATACAAGGAATTTGCTTTGGTGTTGAGGTGCTACATACAGCTGACATAAATAGATGTAGAAATATGTAATAAACAAATTCAAGTTATTTATGAAGAATAGAGAAAAATAATACAACTGACAATATAAAAAAATGGAACAACAACCACTTACAATTAACAACAAATATTGTGGCGAGAGGTTTTGGTCCTGATGGACCGCAGCCTCTTGCCAGAGGGGAGAGTCTGAAACAGTTTGTGACCGGGATGGGAGGCGTCAGCTGCTGCAGTCTTTCCTGCTCGCCTCAGAGTCCTGGAGGCGTGCAGGTCCTGAAGCGATGCAAGATTGCAGTCAATCACCTTCTCTGCAGAGCGAATGATACGCTGCAGCCTGCCCTTGCCCCGGGAGTGGGTCTATGATGGATTTAAGGTGGGACAACACAAGGCGCTCCAAAGACTTCATCACCACAGAGGTCAGGGCGACGGGTCTGTAGTCGTTTAGTCCCGTGGTCCTTGGTTTTTTGGGGACAGGGATGATGGTGGAGGCTTTGAAGCAGGCTGGCACATGGCATGACTCCAGTGAGGTGTTAAAAATGTCTGTAAACACCGGAGACAGCTGATCAGCACAGTGCTTCAGGGTGGATGGGGAGACAGAGTCCGGCCCCGCTGCTTTGCGAGGTTTCTGCCTCCTGAACAGTCTGTTAACATCCCTCTCTTGGATGGTAACAGAGGGGGATGAGATGGTGGACTGTGGCCGATCAGTGGTGTGACGGGGGATGGTGTCAGGTCTGTCCCATTGTCTTTCAAAGCGACAGTAAAACTGGTTCAACTCGTTGGCAAGGCGTGAGTCGTTCATGGAGTGGGGGGATTTAGGTTTGTAGCTGCTGATCCGTCTGAATCCTCTCCAGACAGAAGCAGAGTCATTCCCTGAGGACTGGTCTTGTAGTCTCTCTGCATACAGCTGTTTAGCATCTCGCACCGCCTTGCTAAACCTGTACTTTGACTCCTTAAACCTGGCCCGGTCTCCACTCCTAATCGCCTCTTCCTTTTCCAACCTCAGCTGTCTGAGCTTAGCTGTGAACCAGGGTCTGTCATTGTTATAACTCACCCTGCTGCGTGTTGGAATGCAGCTGTCCTCACAGAAGCTGATGTAGGATGTCACAGCCTCTGTAAACTCATCCAGATTGTTGGTAGCAGTCCTGAAAACATCCCAGTCAGTGCAGTCCAAGCATGCCTGAAGATCCTCTACAGCTTGACTGCTCCATTTCTTTGATGTCCTCACTACAGGTTTACAGAGTTTTAATTTCTGTCTGTAAGCAGGAATCAGGTGGACCATGACATGATCAGAGTGTCCCAGTGGAGCGCGTCTAACGGCGAGATAGGCACTGCTAACTGTGGTGTAACAGTGATCCAAAGTGTTCCCCTCTCTGGTTGGACACTTAATGAACTGTCTGTATTTGGGGAGTTCTTGGCAGAGGTTTCCTTTGTTAAAGTCACCAAGAACAATAACAAGGGAGTCCGGGTTTGTCTGCTCCACACACAGTATCCGGTCGGCCAGCATGCGCTGTGCGTCCTGCACGTTGGCGTGCGGCAGAATGTAAGCACCAACCAGAATGAATGAAGCAAACTCACGGGGGGAGTAAAGCGGTTTACAGTTTATGATTAAAAATTCCAGATTAGGAGAACAGTGCTGCTGAATGGCGTTTGCATTGTCCTGCTCACAAGCGAGAGCTTTCCGATTTAAACAAATTCTGCCCCTCTTATGCCAAGTTACAAGGACTTTACACATGACAGGATATCCAGTGACTGTTAGCACGGCGCTAAAAGCTACAAGATCTTGAGTTTGATTCCCAAGCTGGCCACTCTTAGTGCTTTGACAAGACCAGATCACCAAGTGTTGTAAGATGTGAGCAAGGGAAACGGGACCGCGTGGCCTAATGGACAAGGCGTCTGACTTCGGATCAGAAGATTGAGGGTTCGAGTCCCTTCGTGGTTGAAGGCCCCTCCGTTATTTATGGAGAAATACTTAAAGCCATCGCGACAGACCGTATAAGAAGTGAGTATTTTCAAGTTTAAACAATTTGTGCTTGCATAGACTTGGGGGCACTTTGCACACGACTGAACATCCAAAACTTGTCCGTTTCTTTTTTTTTTACTTCTGGAGGACAAATTGTTTAAAAAAAGAACCACAAAAGCAGGCGGCTCAGGTCAAAGGTTTTGAGTGTACTGCTCACCTGGAAGGTGGTCACACATGACTTAACATCCAGTATGGAGCCATTGTCTGTTTTAGTCTGTCCCTGTTGTTTTATGCATTGAATTTTGTTAGCAAAAAGAAAGAAAGAAGCACCCCACAGCAGGCCGGTTAGCTCAGATGGTTAGAGCGTGGTGCTAATAACGCCAAGGTCATGGGTTCAACCCCCATACTGGCCAGTGGTGACCATTTAACAACTCGACGTCAGAATCAGAAGGAGCTTTGTTGCCAAGTACCTTCTTACACATACAAGGAATTTGCTTTGGTGTTGAGGTGCTACACCCAGACAGACATACAGCTGACATAAATAGATGTAGAAATATGTAATAAACAAATGCAAGTTATATATGAAGAATAGAGAAAAATAATACAACTGACAATATAAAAAAATGGAACAACAACCACTTACAATTAACAACAAATATTTGTGGCGAGAGGTTTTGGTCCTGATGGACCGCAGCCTCTTGCCAGAGGGGAGAGTCTGAAACAGTTTGTGACCGGGATGGGAGGCGTCAGCTGCTGCAGTCTTTCCTGCTCGCCTCAGAGTCCTGGAGGCGTGCAGGTCCTGAAGCGATGCAAGATTGCAGTCAATCACCTTCTCTGCAGAGCGAATGATACGCTGCAGCCTGCCCTTGCCCCGGGAGTGGGTCTATGATGGATTTAAGGTGGGACAACACAAGGCGCTCCAAAGACTTCATCACCACAGAGGTCAGGGCGACGGGTCTGTAGTCGTTTAGTCCCGTGGTCCTTGGTTTTTTGGGGACAGGGATGATGGTGGAGGCTTTGAAGCAGGCTGGCACATGGCATGACTCCAGTGAGGTGTTAAAAATGTCTGTAAACACCGGAGACAGCTGATCAGCACAGTGCTTCAGGGTGGATGGGGAGACAGAGTCCGGCCCCGCTGCTTTGCGAGGTTTCTGCCTCCTGAACAGTCTGTTAACATCCCTCTCTTGGATGGTAAGAGAGGGGGAGGAGGTGGGGGATGAGATGGTGGACTGTGGCCGATCAGTGGTGTGACGGGGGATGGTGTCAGGTCTGTCCCATTGTCTTTCAAAGCGACAGTAAAACTGGTTCAACTCGTTGGCAAGGCGTGAGTCGTTCATGGAGTGGGGGGATTTAGGTTTGTAGCTGCTGATCCGTCTGAATCCTCTCCAGACAGAAGCAGAGTCATTCCTTGAGGACTGGTCTTGTAGTCTCTCTGCATACAGCTGTTTAGCATCTCGCACCGCCTTGCTAAACCTGTACTTTGACTCCTTAAACCTGGCCCGGTCTCCACTCCTAATCGCCTCTTCCTTTTCCAACCTCAGCTGTCTGAGCTTAGCTGTGAACCAGGGTCTGTCATTGTTATAACTCACCCTGCTGCGTGTTGGAATGCAGCTGTCCTCACAGAAGCTGATGTAGGATGTCACAGCCTCTGTAAACTCATCCAGATTGTTGGTAGCAGTCCTGAAAACATCCCAGTCAGTGCAGTCCAAGCATGCCTGAAGATCCTCTACAGCTTGACTGCTCCATTTCTTTGATGTCCTCACTACAGGTTTACAGAGTTTTAATTTCTGTCTGTAAGCAGGAATCAGGTGGACCATGACATGATCAGAGTGTCCCAGTGGAGCGCGTCTAACGGCGAGATAGGCACTGCTAACTGGTGTAACAGTGATCCAAAGTGTTCCCCTCTCTGGTTGGACACTTAATGAACTGTCTGTATTTGGGGAGTTCTTGGCAGAGGTTTCCTTTGTTAAAGTCACCAAGAACAATAACAAGGGAGTCCGGGTTTGTCTGCTCCACACACAGTATCCGGTCGGCCAGCATGCGCTGTGCGTCCTGCACGTTGGCGTGCGGC